GGCGCGCGCGGCGCGGCAAGCGGGGGCGCGGGCGGGGGCGCGGGGACGGCGGCGTCGGGGTCGGAGGGCGGCGGCGGGGCAGGGGGCAGCGCGGGGGCGGGCGTCGAGGGGCGAGCGGCGGAAGCGGCTTCGGGCTCTGGCGAGATGGAACGTCAGGTGCTCGGTGCAGGTCAACAGCAAGACGTTGCCGTTAACCAGCAAGGCAACGCAGGCCCTGCCGCCACTGCTAGATGCCTGTGCATTCATGCTGCAGGTGTGAGGCCGTTTTGGATTGCAGAAAGCTTCACAAGTTGTGGTGTCACATTTCAAACTGTCCACCTCCCAATGTTCCACCAGAAACGGGTGCACTCACACATACACACGCACACTCGCACACACACTCTATCTCACACACACACACGCACACTTCCTCGCGTGTGCGCCCTCGTTTTCCCCACTCACGCGCATGCATCCGCCAGGTGATGGCCTCCCTGTCCGCCTACCTCAAAGCGAGGGGCGGCGGGCCGCCCGAGGGCTGGTCGGTGAAGCTCACCATCCGCTCGGACGGCGGCGTCATCAAGACGTTCGTGTCGCCAGAGGGCGCCAGGTTCAGGGGCCTGCTAGCGGTGGCGCGCCACCTGGGGCTGGTGGAAGGTGCGCAGGCGCGGAGGCGGCGCGTGTGGGGCCCGCGGGCGCGGCGTCGGGGCGCGGCGGGGCGGTCTGGGTGCACGCAACGCGCCGGGCAGCTTAGGGAGGAGTCAGGGGGCCAACATGCGGGGCTGGGCGTGCCAATCAGAGTGGGATCAAGGGCGTACGGGACATGACCGTCGGGTGTTTGAAGTGCATTGAGAGCTTTTGCATCGGTCTGCAAACGTGCGCCTGCCACCCCTCAAATCACCATCCTGTTGCGGGGCCCTCACAGCCGCAAACAAGCGGGCACCCGCCAGCGATCCGGCCGTACCGGGGGCCGCCGGTGGGGCGCAGCCCGTCGCCAAGCGAGCCCGTGGCGCAGCGATGCCCGCGGCCGCGGAACCGCCGGAGCTGGCGCGGCTCCGCCGGGAGGCGCTGGCCCCGCTGGACGCGCAAGCAGCAGCACTGAGCGGGCAGGTGCCGCGCAAGCAGGCGCGGCGGCGGCGCGCGGCCGCCGGGCGGGTGGCAGAGAGGGAGCGGGTGCGGGCAGTTGGCGACGCGCTTGCAGGTGCGCATGGCGGGGTGGGGCGCGTATAGGATCCACAGGTGGTTGCCGTTTCAGGCCAACGGGACTCAGCACACGTCCCAGCCTGCGTGAACGCGTGCCTGTGGGGTGGGGGGTGCCAATGGGAGTTTTGGGCGCGGCTGCGGCGGCCTGTCTTTGATGGTTCGGCTGAAGCCCCTCACAGCAGTGAGCCCTTCTCAATTCCCATGGTCCCCCGGCAGCCCCTTCTCAAAAGCTCAACCCCACCCCACCGCGCGACCCACTCACGCCAGACGCCCTCGTTGGGTACTACGAAGACGCGGCTCGCGGCCTGGCAGCGGCTGCAGGTGATCAAGGCGGCGCCACCAACGTGGCGCTGCTCGAAGAAAACGCGCGACTGCGGGCTGTGGGCGCGCGGCAGCGGGCCGAGCTGTCAGCGCTGAGGGCCGAGCTGGCCGCGGCGCGCGGGCAGCTTGCTGCGGCGCGCGCCGAAGCGCTCGCGCTGCACGCGACGGCGGGCCAGGCGGGGGGCGCAGCCGCCGCTACCGCTTGGGCGGTGCTTGCACGGGACGATGGCTGCAGCGTTGCAAGGGGCGCGGCGGCCCAAGCCGGCGCCCAGCAAAGGCCGCGGGTCCCATGGAGGGTGGGGAGGCGTGGCCCGCAGCAGCCGTTGCCTTTGGACAGCGCTAACGAGGACGCCGCTCGGGAGGAGGCTGCAGCAGCAGCCGCACCCGCGGCAGAGGCGGCCAGCGCGTTGCCGCCGGCAGCGCCAGCGCCAAACGGGGGCCGTCAACGGGAGCCAGAGGGCGCCGGCCTCCTGCAGGGGAAGGGGCTGCGCCCTGCAGGCGCTGGGAGCAGCGCGGCTCCTGAATCCAAGCTGCATGGGGCCGCAAGCAACGCCGCCGCGGCCCCACTCCCCAGCGGCCTCGCGGCTGCGGTGCCGCGACGCGCGACCGAGCCTGGGCCGAAGAGAGGGGCCCTCGGCGCAGCAGCGGCGGGCGCCGGCGGCGCTATTGCGGCGGAGCAGGCGACTCAGCACGGTGGGGTAGATGAGCCAGACGAGCCAGACCAGCGTGGCGCTGCTGGTGCCGGGAGCGCTGTGGGGTGCACGGTGCTGTTGAAGGAGGCAGAACCGACGTCAGCAGGAGTTGACAGCGCGGCAAAGCCCCCTCCGGTTGGCGGCAGCGGCAGCCCCAGGGCGGCCGCGCCCGGCGCCCTGCAAGCGCTACTTCACGCCGCGGTGCTGCCGGTGCCGCCGCAGGCGCCGGCGGGCGCGCAGGCTCAGCCGAACCGGGCCTTGGTGGGCGCTGCTGCTGAGGGTGGTTCCCCCGCTGCGGTCCTCGGCCACCTGCCAACTGAGGCCTTTGCGTTTGCCAAAGTCCTGGCGCCTGCACCGTCAGCAACGCCAGCACCAGCCCCATCAGCGCCGCTGGCGCCCCAGCGGGTCCAGCAGGGGCAGCAGCAACAGAGGCTGCGGTCCGAGCAGGGGCACCACCAGCAGGAGTCGCAGCAGGGCCAACAGAAGGGGCAGCAGGTGCGGCACCAGCTTGGGGCGCAGCACGAGCAACAGCAAGAACAGCAGAGGCAACAGGGGCAGCAGCAGCCAGATGGCCCAAGAAAGGAAATGCAGGTATCCAACGGCGTCGCAATAGCCGGCAGTTGCACCACCACATCGCCGCCAGATGCCAGTGTCCCTTCGTCAACACAGGCAGCTGCAGACGGGCTTGCGGCGGCAGCAGGCCCGGCTGCAGCAATGTTTGCAGCTGAGATGGACCCTTGGGACGAGTATTGCCGCTACTTGATGCCACTAGACCCGCAAGCTGCGCAAGAGCCCCTGCTTGAGCGATCCCAAGGGCCAAGCCCTCGGGCAAGTGCACCCCTACCCCCTCTGCCGCCCCGCCCGCGGGCCCCCGTGCCGCGCCGCCCAGCTGCGGCGCCGCCCGCACCGCAGGCGCCGCCTGCAAGGTGCCCGGGCGGCACGCCGCGCCCCGCACCGCGTGGCGCGGCGCAAGGGCCCGAGGCGACTGGGGCACCGCCCGGTTCGGGAGGCGCCGGCAGCCCCATCGAGGTAAGCCGCACCGGTGTGTCCATCAGCGACAGCTTCCTATCTCCCTTGCTGCCCCATGTGGTCGGCGTCCTCCTGCACACGCCCACCCACGCGACCACCGCGCCCGACGGCGCGGGCGACGCGGGAGGCGCAGCTGACGCGGCCGCCGCCAGCCCTTGCACTGTCGAGGGCGGCGCTGCGACACCACGCGGCGTCCGCGGCGCGATGGAGGTCGGCCTGCCATTTGGAGGATTTGAGTCGCCCGTGCCGGAAAGCGGCCGGGACGCTGACGGTCGGCAGTCAGGAGAAGGGCAGGGGGAGCCTCTGCTTGTGGAAGAGCAGGGGCAGCAGCGGCAGCAGGGACAGCAGCGGCAGCAAGATTGGCGGGAGCAGGGGGAGGGAGATGGCGGGGGCCTGCCCCTCACGCCAGGCGGGCCATCTGCTCAAGCTGGCCCCAGCCCACACCACAGCGTGGGCGCCGCCATGCAGCCGCGGCGGCAGCGCCAGGAGCGTGACGGGGAGAAGCGATCAGGGTCGCCGCACGGGCGAGCGGCGGGCCAGGAGATGGCGGCGGCCGGCGCAGCAGCCTCACATCTGGGGTCGGCCAGCGGCAGCGACGACGAGGAGGACGGCAGCGCGGACGGCCCTGTTCCGCAGCGTGCGGCCCCGCCCGTGCAGCGGCGGCAGCGCTCGCGCTCGCTGGTGCTCGAACTGTTCGGGCCTGCGGCCGCCGGCGCAGAGCGCTCGCCGCACAGCGGCTCCTTTGACTGGCAGGACGGGGCCTCTGCGAGCCCCAGCGGTCTTGGTGTTGGTCTGGGTGGCGCGGGCAGCAACAGCGACGGCGCCGACGGCGGCAGCGGCGGCGCGGGCGGCGGCGCGAGCGGCGGCGGCGGCGGCGGCGGCGGCGGCAGCAGCG